CTCTACCACTATGTCCTGGATTAGAGCCAAAATCTCTTTTGCGCTCTTACGATGCGCCCTCTTATGCTTAAGAGGTACAAGAAAGAAGAGAAGAACATTTGAGACATTCGATACAGTTTTTTTAATTGAAAATATGGAAAATATAGGCTAGACATTTTTAAAATTTGCTTTTACAGTTTTTTAGAGTAAGAATGTCATTTCCCTTCTCATATATTTATGCCTTTTCTCCCTTATAAATTATATGAACAACCCAAATATGCTGCCTTGCCTGAGCTATGTTTACTGGGAAAAATTATAACCAATCAACAATTGGAGTAAATGGCTATGGGCAAAATCCCATAGCCGCATTTATTTAAAATTACTGTTCAATCAAATCCTTGATACAAAGTTTGGCCCAGTAAAGGTGAGGGCACTGAAAACGCCAAAAAATACATTATAATGATCTGAAAATGAGGAGTGGCTGGGACAAGGGGAGGAGGAGGGATGAAAAACCACGTCTTTAACCACCATCAAGATGGAACGGAGTGACGCTCACATGGGAGCCTGGTCACTTGGCAAGCACAAGTATCCTAAAGGGTATTGGGTATAATCCAAATAAATGCCACCCCAAGTCCCAGGCCCCCAAAAGAAATAAAAAGTACACAACGGGGAGAAGAAGCATAAAAATTCTATTTGCAAGCAAATATTTCCTTTTCTGTCGCACTGCTGCGATTATTTGTTCCCCGAGTGATTTCTTATTCAAAAATTGACATGAAAGATAAAAATCGCAATTAGATTAGGCATGCAGAGTTTCACAGTGGATATGCAAATTTGTCCGCGTGCCGGATGAGACCTACTTTCATGGTATCTTTTAATTTTTAATGCTTCTTTGCGGGGATAAAGTTTATTCAGAAAGAATATTAGAAGCATAGATATCAGTGCTGATAGGAAAATATTTTCTGACAGTGATCTGAGTATTTAGCCTGAGGTATTGGTTCCGTGACCGACCATTTGATTGCTTTTCTTTACTGTTAATCCGTAATGGTCATGCCTCAAAAGGTTACGTTGAAAAAATATCGCGATGAAGGAAGTTATTAGGTCTCAGACGTGGGATATCAGCATTAAAAACATGCTGTGCTGTTTAGACATGTGTTATCGCTTAAGAACGTTAAAATATTGCAGCGAGGTTTTCAATCTTCAGTTCAATGCTGAACTAGTGGCCAAACTTAGACCTCATACGCTCCATATCCACCTCGTAGACATGGGCCAAGCATATTTTCTAAGTATTCCAAGTGTCTTGGAAAATGACTTGTAGAGTTATAAATGCTTTCACAAATACGGTCGACTTAGACGAGAAAAGTCCTTATTTTGTGCTCGATGTGCATTCTGCAATGGAAGTTGTACGGATTATTTCGACAACAGAAGGGAATCCCTTCACAATTGATTTATACAAGAATAGCTTCACAGGCAGTCCACCTCTAGGACTACTTGTGGTAACGGAGCATGTATTAATCACGTAAATAAAGTAGATTAAAAACATAATTATAACTAATAGAGAATACAGGCCTCCTTTTATTCTTGCACATCCCCATATAATTTATGCTGTGATGAAAATATCGTGGATGCTGAATTCATTCTGAGTTCTGGCCGGTGAAAGCGAAAGATGAGTGTGTTGTTATCAGCTCTTAGCCCGCGGCGAAAGAAAAACAAAAAATAGAAAAAAGTGGGGGGAACAACTGTTGCTAACGAAATGTTTCTGATCAAAGTAGTTTGACTCAAGTGCTGTTTTCACGTCCAAAGGAGTCGTTTATGGTACTTTATCCCATAATCGCAATCCAACGTCTTGGCAAATAAACATGCAACCATGCGACATGTTTGCAAACGTGTGCTCGACTTAATTCGCATTCCGAACATTTTTTAAGTATTTATGAAAACATCCTGTCTGTTCGACCACTAAAAGCCCAGCCCTTAAAAACGACTACACCTGTATGTATCTTCTTCAGTAACGAATAAAGCCTAATGGTAAGGTTTTCGATTCCACAATTTACTTTGTCGATGCTTTGGTTCCGTTAACAAGCAATAACTCTATCTATGGAGGAAGTCATACCTCGCCTTTGAAACCTTCTGTTTGGAAATGAGATGAATTGGCCTTATGTCGTCCACAGTCCTTTGTGTCCTTATCCACTAAGGGCAAATAAATCATGTAATGTCCTTCTCATCAAACTCTCTCCTTAAAAGATATATCTCGTTGTTTGGTTTAGACGGGCAATCCAGATCGACTAACAGTAATTGCGTTGTCTTTGTGTTCTCGGTAACTGTTCATGCATGCTGAGAGGGGTCAGGGAGTGGGGGTGGAATTTAGCCAGCCTTTCAAGGAGACTAGGACGAAGATTGTTCTCACAAAGGTACAATTTAAGAGCATCTCTGCTCCTACGTCAAAGAACCTCAAAGTACTCCGAAGGTCTAGATAAGAGATTAAGAATTATGGTGAAGGACTGCACCATAGTGCAGGAAAAAACCTCGAGAAAGTTGCCCTTTTTTTCTACTGCTCTGATCCCTTCATTAGTAATTTTTTTTCAAAATGGCTACGCATGGAATACAGAAATAGTTGGAGCTCCCATTCTTAACCACATTGTAAGTGTTCGAGGACAGAACGATGAACTAGAGGTTTCGATTCTCTTACATCAACACACTGCAGACATGGATGTTTCCGTGACAATAATTCGATCAGTATTTAATATGAATCATGTGAAACTTTGTGCAAGACTCCCACCCACACAACTTGAAACTCGCCTAGAGCCATCAAATAACTTGGTGGCAAAGTCCCTCAAAACAGTCGAGTGAAAATACTCCCACGAGAAAGCAAAACAGGAAATGCAAAATGAATCACACCTCCCCCCCCCACCCCCCTCCCCACTTCCCGTGCCATTTTTTCCCAGAAAAAGTCAAGTACGTGTTGTATAAACAAGAGGGACGCCATTTTGATCTGTTTATGCTTTTAAGTTGCATGAGGCAATAAAATAGTGATATCTAGTACTCCATATGGTGGTCCTCCCTTTTCTGATCTGAACCTGCTTCCTAATTTCACCCATTGGGAATTTCTCATCATGGCCGGAAATAAAACAAAAGATACAAGTTCTACTCAGATTTACAGGAGTGTGAACCTGCTTTCATGCTCCTCCACTCACAAAAATCCTGGATATTTTAGTACTGGAAGTTGTGTGGTCAAGAACTTTAGCATCGACAGAACTAAAAAATATCAGTTCACTTTCAAAATATGTTTACCGACAGTAAAGCCTTGATACATGGAAAAGTTGTGACAGTATCGATCCCTGTGTGTTGTTGTGACAGAGCTAATGCTAACAAAGTTGAAACTCGCCATTTTTCATGGTTGAACTTTTAACCAATGTTCTCGAATTAGTTCCCAATTACAGTCATTTTTTCTGGTATCAAAAGGACTTGCATGAGGGGACGCAAATCGTCTGCACTGGAAGTACACATCAAACTCCCCAGGCGCTCTAATCCAATTAAATATGTGGTTTTTATGTCAGCGTTTGCGTGGTTAATATCGTAAGCGCCCCTTTCGGTTGGATCTGGACAGTGTCTGTTTTTGGATCTGGACAATGTTCTTTTTTTTTCCCAGATTGCTTTGTAATGCATGTAGTTTTCTTAGTTATTTTCCCAAAAAATGGCGCTGAGGAAAGGTTTTTCGACCTTCTCTCGCGTCGTCAGTGATGCATTAAGCGAGCATAATTACTGGTATGTGCTCACAACAGAATTTTGTGGAATTACTCCTCTGCAATATTTTAAGCGATCGCCGATCCTGACAACTTTTCCAGAAGATTTCTGCCGAATTGAAAGCGACAAACTTCGGCTTCTCGATGGGCGCCCCTTCGTCAACAAGAAAAATTCCAGCGCATTTGAAGTTGTTTGCTCGTCTTTTGGGCTTGTATCGGTTATTCTGAGGGAAAAAAGAGGTTCTGAAGAAGGAGGATCCGCCGCGATTTATAAAGTTAAAGAATTTTTGAATGGCTTGGATTTGAGTTCCCTCAAGGGAGACGGCAACGACTTGAATTGCGAGCGACCACGTGCAGCTCGGCGCCTTACAATGACCCCTCAATTCAACACTCCGCCTAGCTAGTACGAAAGAAATGCCTGTCTCGGTTCATTTGACTCCTCCAAACAGTGGCAGTCTTAGTTCTCCTAATCTAAAGGAGATTT